TATTGACCGACATATATAGTATAAAGCCCACCGGAAGTTTAAAATTTTTATACTCGGTATGCAGGGACTACGGGTAGTATTTACCCAAGTTTATGCAATTTTGGCACCAGAACATATTATTACTTTAAAAAGTTATTATTTGAGTTTCATTGTTATACCTAACAAATTGACCGTTATTTTTGGTAAAAAGTCAGCGATAGACCCACAAGACCCATATATATATATTCGGTATCTAGGGGGTTTGATAAGTTATGACCGTATATCGAACATTTTTGAGATGATGTCATACCTATCATAGTGCCCTCAAATATTTGTTCAAAGTTTTCTCCCAATATCTTCAATGGCGTTTGAATGATTTTCCTACAGGATGTGTCTGTGTAAGTCGGTGATTTTCTAGCTTGTATGCAGCGAAGCAGAAGATCACTCGATATTTGACGCCTTTAGCATAATTTACATAACAAACACCGAGCCATCTTGCTGCCAACCTTAAATGTGTATACAAAGAAAATCTATAAGGGGAAAAGAATGTTATACCAAACAAGAATGTGAACAGAAAACCAAAACAAACAACAACAAAACGAGCACACCGTATGCACTTATAGCGCAGTGCTGCACTGAAAATAACATCAAAAGCAAATTTAACGAAGACAACAACAACAACAGCCATATAGCACAACGAAGCTAGCTCTTTGTATGGCTGCATTGACCGCGTGTATCTCATAGATACCAAATGCATAGAAACCAAATGCATAGCCGCTGCTTCACGAGAATTTTTTCCGAGCAGTTTGCTTTTTTTATCCGCTTTTGCCGCTCCACTGCAGCTTGTTGTTATTGATTGTACGCTTGAAGATGGTTGCTGTTGTTGTTGTTGTTGGTTTTACATTCGTAAAATGCTTCAATAGTTTCCTACGCTGCTTAAAGCAGTAGTTATTGTTGTTATAATTATTGTTTTTTTTTGTTGTTGTTATCGCAGTTGCATACGGATTTTGTTTGGCTTCGTTTGTTGTGGAAAAACTGCAGCAGCGGCAACGTGCACACCAACAACAACAATTACAACAACAACATTGTGGCAATACGCACGTTTGCATGGCAATCAATGCGTTCGAAGCATAAACAATATGTTGTTGCTTTGTTTTTGTTGTTATTTTTTCTTTAGCTTCTCGGTTGTTTGTTTTATCACCAACAGCAATCACATTTTGTTAGTTTTCTAATCCCTCGGTGCATTTACATTTGCTTCTGTCGCTTTGTTTTCTTTACCAGTTTCTCCTTGCACTCTCGCTCACTCTCTTTCCCAATACGTGTTCTCCAAATTGTTTTTCTCGATTTTTAACTTTGCCCCATTTTCCAGCTTGTAAAGATTTTCTATTTGTTATGCTATTGAAAATATTATTTCCTTTCAGCTTGTTTGTGTTTATATGTGTGTGTTCGTGTACGGAAATTTAGAGAGAGAGAGAGAGAGAGGAAAGCGAATGTCGATGCGATAAAAGCACTTTAAGTCAAATTGCTGAAGTAGGGGCGTTCTACTTACCGCACACGTGTGAATGAAATTGGATTAGTTGCGTGTTTTTGTTCGCTTCTTGAGATTGGGGTCGATAATATCTGATCAAATTTGACACGGACTGGGCCATTTTAAAGAAATAAAAATAAATTTTCGAGGATATACAAAGGTATTGTTGGGTGTTCTTACAGTTGGGTGTTCTTACAGTGGCTGCCAGTAGCTCGATTGGAAGATTAATGAAGATGAGATGAAAGAGGTTCATATTTTAAGAATTCTCGACATATTATACTCGAAATATCACGTTAAACGGCTCATCGTATTCAAATACTAACTACAGAAGGCAAATAGTTATTGTAAGGGAATCTTAGTGTAGGCTAAAGGTTGCAAGATTTTGGTAAGAAAACACTAAGTGAGATTCGAAAAGATTTGGTGAACTTAAATAAGATTAACTTAATTTAAATCAGCGGCGGCTACTAAAATTCGTATATTAATAGAAGTTAGACTCATCCTGGAAATATAAAACTAGAAAAAAATAGAAGCGTTCTTAGACATTCAGAATAAGATCCCGAATCATAATTTGACTGCATCGTCTACACGGTAAGCAAGCTAAGTTTTGTAAAATTAAACTATAACGAAATTAGTTTAAGTACATAGCATGAGTTCATTCGTAGGAATATAGTAACATAATATCATTACTGTTTCAACAATATCCTTCTCCACGGATTTAGGGCATTATAGATTATTTTCCAATCTCATCCCAAAACAAGCTCCATCTCAAGCCATCCAAATGATTTTTTGAATGTCTCTATCTGATCAAAAGATTACAAACATAATACATTCTATTATTCAAAGTTCCAAATTTATGGTACAACAAAAGCCAACATTCCCAGGCTCCCTACATATTTTCATACAAATGAAAACAATTTACCTAAACCGATTGTCCCCCAAACGAATCTTACAGGCCTCTACTTCCCACAGACCGCCACTGTGTTTTATTGCCATTGTGCCTACAAAGACATTTTTGGCAATAAAGGATCGAAAACAATAACAGCAGGAACTATTACAAGAACAAAAGTTGGAGACAAACCAAAAAACTGTAATAAAATCTAAAGAGCAAAACACGAAGGACGAGCCTACAAACAGAATTTACTAAATTGCTTATACTATGTATGTAAGAAACGCACACTCAGACACACATACACATCCACCCACACATCCTGCCAACAGCAACGCCGGCCAATATTGGCAATTGGCAACACGACAGAGAGCAGGACTTTGCTTGCCTTCGATTACAAGAGAGCGGGCGATTGAGAGCGAGAGTGCTAGAGCTTGTGAGTAAACTAAAACTGTTTAAATAAGAAATAAATTTGCAACAACAACAATGCGAAAGGTGAATGCAAAGAAGCACGTAAACAAAGCCGAGAGCATAAACAACAACCAGAACCCACCGCCATAAGAGACGACAGGAACAACAATAACATTGGCAATGCAATGTTAAATAGTAAACAACCGTAAGAAGAATGGGGAGTGGAGTCAACGCTACGAAGGAAATGTAGCCATAAAAACGTGCACGCAAAAGGCAATGGCAAACATAAAAGAGGCAGAAGCGTCCAAGCAGCCAGCGCGTAGGCGAAAGAACAAGCGCAGCACAGGACGATTCAGCCGATTCAGGAAGCACAACAAAGCAATAAGGTAATAGCATAACAGCAACAATCCACAGATACAGTGCACAGCACGGCGGGGCAATATAAACGGAGAGTAAATGGTCTGAATGTTTATTACCTCGCCGTTGCACGTGTAGGAACTGATGTTTGGCTGGAGCATACGCGTTTGAGTGTTTGTGTGCGTGTGCCTGTGCTTCTGTGCGATTATATGTGTGCATGACTTTATTGTTTATGGTAGAGTTGCCAAATTCAGTGCATTAAAAACCTCAACGGGAACTGGAAATAATTCCATTTCCCAAATGCTTCTACAAGAAGTTTAAGTTTTAGATAAAATTACAAGAGCAATATATGAATTTCTGAAAGTATTGATATTTTTCAAAAAAAAATAGATCTTTAGAATATTAGATTTCATGCCAATCATACAAAACTAGGAGCCCTCAGCTCTAATTGAACTGATTTTTCGAAAAGTAGGTCAATGTTAAAGTAAATAGTTCAATATTTATGTCATATATTTTTATATATAAACCAATTCGGTACCAATTAAGTTTTTTTATTGGTTTACTGTTTATATTACTAATTGAACCCTAAAAAACGGTATTAAAGTACTTCAAAAGTCTAAATTCTAAAAAACCAATTAAAATTTTAAAGCAAAAGCAAATTATTATTTTATTTGAAAAATATTATATATTACAATAATATTAAAATATGTTCGGGTTGTAGATCCCAATTACACATAACCTTAATATAATTTTTTTTTTTTTTTTTTATATTCGAAATTTAACAGTCTTGTCTTTGATTGATTTTCGGACGGATGTTTTCCTTGCTGAACTTATAATTTTTAATAGCAAAGTTTCGGTTATTTACAAAAAGTGGTTGTCAGATCACAGAGAAGTAAGAGAGTATGCTATAGTGGTCCGATCTGAACGATATGTTCTAATTGCAGCAACAATTCTCCTTCAACAATAATCCATGTTTGTATGACAGCTACATCCTTTAGTGGTCCGATATCGGTGGTTCCAACGAATGAGTAGCTTCTTGGAAGAAACTAATGTATGCAAAATTTCAAATCGATATCTCAACATCTGAGGGAGTAGTTCGCGTACATACCGACAGACAGACGGACATGGCTAAATCGACGTTTTCACAACGGTGCCCCTCACAACTTGAAAACTACTGCACCAATCTTTGTGAAAACTCAACAATATTTCCATACAAGTATATAATTTACGAGGTTACTATGGCGAGTTATTTTCAAATTTATCAATATTTGTTATCAAAGTGTTCTAAAAAAGTATGTACTAAAATTTCCAAATACCCTTTCGGCGTTGCCTAGGGAAAACTATTATTTAACGGATGTATTTTGATTTTTTGATTTCCGATAATCCAGCAGTAGGTTAAGAGTGGCACCGCAATCCAAATTTTTTTTCGAAAATGGTTCCAATAATTGCTGCTGTTGTCGCATTTTTTTAAATTTTCTTATTGACAATTTTACACATACAATTTTCTAAATGTCATACTATAATGTACCACCATTTTTGGAAAAGAGAATTTAACTCTATCGTCATAAAAATTTCACCAAAACTAGTAGTTTTTGCACGAATAAACCTGCAAAATGGTTAAGCGCCTAAAATTATGTTAGTAATATTGAAACGCTACATTTAAAATTTATTTGAAATCATTAGGAACAAGCCTGCCTAGAAATTGTACATATTGCTATTCGCTGAGCAACTCACTGGAAAACCACAAATAAGTAAAAAATGTTGGCAACTCTACAAAAATGCTGTGCTATCATTCATATACTTATATATTTTTTTCAACGTTGCTTTATTTGAATGTAGGCAAAGGCGATATTGATTGCCGCGGCCGGGCAGAGGACGAAGAATGCATTTGTTGACGACCTGGCAGTATGCTGGAGGGGCGATCGATTTTGGTGGTTGTTTGTTTTCATACCTAAAGCGCTCTCACAAACACACACAAAATACGGGCAAGCCAGCCAGCAAGCAAGCAAAAGCAATCCAACAAACAAACAAGCAGATACACATTTGTTACTTCACATACACATACTCTCATGAGAGCACGAAAGTGTGGTGAAGAGCTACATTATGGTTATGGCTAAGCGTGCGACGACGTAAACAAAAATTTGAATTTTTCAAATCAGTTTTTGGCGGCACTCCAAGCGGTACAGACCGGTCAAATCGCATGCAAGTGTTTGCGTGTGTACTTGTGTACGAAATTTTACGTATGGCTGTGTGTGTGTGCGTGTGTGTTTAAGCGGGTTAAAAGACGTAACGTAAACGCACGACGCGCGACGTGATTAAGGGAAGAAAGTGAAGCGTCTATGAAATATATTGTATTGATGAATCGAGCGCCGGAATCCTGTGCGCGTAAGGATATGCATACAGATGTACACCATATAAAGTGAAAGTGAATTGTAAATAATAAGATTAACAACAAAAACAAAAAAAATTGTTTAATATTTAAAAAAGTTAAGAATAATAAAATTGTGCCAAATTTGTTTTAAAGTAGAAAAATGTACAGAAGCTGACAAACAGAAAACACTGCTGACTACATGTACCCTCGTAGGCAACAACAACAAGAAAACCATAAAATAATTTCCTTACACAAACGGTAAAAACGTACATTTCCGCACTTAAAGCAGTCATTAAGCACACAAAAAAGCCCAGAAATTGCAACTAATCTCCGCTGCAATAAAACATACAACAACATAAATAAAAGAAATTACCTAAACGCAATCATTAGCAACATGGAAGCCAGCAGAAATGCCACCCCCATAAATCAAATCACTTCCACTGCCAACGCCAACGCCAAAGCTACCATCACCTTCAATGCTAGCAATAGCAACAAAAACACAAACAACAAAAATCACAACAACACCGCTTCCAGCAACAACATTTCGAGTGGCTCGGTTGTCTTTGAGAACGGGACAATCATGGGTGCCGTATACGACTACAATACGAGTTACACCAGCAACTGTAGCAGTGGCAGCGACAGCAGCAACAGCAACAGCAACAACAGCATTAGCAGTCATAGGAATAGCAGCTATTACCAACAGCCGGAAGGGCAGTTTGCCAGCATACCGGAGATTGTAATCAACGGCAGCTACAACAGCCATCAGAATCTACACCACCAACAACAACAGACACAAAAGCTATATCAACAAACAGAGGCTCACATGGCCGATTCATCCAACAATTGTGATGATTCCGCCATTGAAAGCACCGCACTACTCTCCTCCACCGACAACACCAACACCAACGCCACGATGAATGGCGTTGTAGATTTGGATGCCGTTGAGGCGTCCGATGCTGTGGTGAACGATGAATTCGAGCAATTCCTGTTCAATCGCAGCACCGATAGCAACATACTCGAGTCCAGTATTTATAGCGAACTCCAATTTCCGCCCTCAATCGGTAGTCTCAGTATTGGCAGTGGCGTGGGCGCCGCGTATGTGGGCGGTGGTAGTAGTGGTGCTGCTGATGCTGCCATTGTTGGTTGCATGGGTACATCAATGGCCCAGCAATGTCAACTGGCGGCCGCACGCGCTCAACTGCAGTTGCCGCCACTGCCACCGATGAGCGCGGCAAATGCCGCCAACGCTACCACCACGAACAACAACAACAATAATAACAATAACAATGCCAGCGTAACCGAACTGGCCGAGCTGCTGAACACGAGCACCTGTTCGCGTGAGTCATCGTCGCGTGCCAGCAAACGCTCACGTACGCGCAAGTCGCACAAAACGAGCAGCAAAGCGAAATGGAATGCGAATGTGGCTGCAAATGCGACACAGGGTGCTGTTACAGCGGCAGCAGCTGCGGCTGCTGCCACCTTTCCACCACAATATGCGGCCATATTTCTAGATCATGGCAATATGACAGCGGCTGCCAATGCAATGGGACAGATTGCAAGTGCGGCAGCTGGTTCGCCCTTCTTGAATGCACCGATTGTGGATGCCGCAACGGCGGCAGCATACTTGCAACAACAGCCGTATCAGCTGATAACTACGGCGACGGCGCCATATGCACATCTCGGCAGGCATCTGCACCACAGGTGGGTGAAAGCAATACCATAACCGTTTACAAGACTATATGTATACTTATAGATTTATATATAAAAGTTATTTACTCATTTAATTAGCTATATATAAGATACTTTCAATATACAGACGCTTTATATTCGTATGTGTGCGTTTAACGCACGTATGTGTTGGTTGTTGAGTAATTTCAACGCCACTGTAATTGAAAGTGTGGTGACACACAGAGAGTTTATGCGAATTTTCAGCTTAAAGCCAATAAGTAAATATGAAGCTTTAAGTATCACATTTAAAAGCTTATATTTATACACATACATACTTACATATGTATACACGAAAGTGAGTAGGACACGTTTATATTATGACATTAAATATCATTTATTCAAAACATAACATGTTAATGCCATTTAGCGTTATTTTTTATTAAAGAAAACTTAAAAACCTTGACATGTTGCCGTTACGTGTCATAACTTTTTGTAGCAGCAGGAGTGAACAAGCCATTAGCTGCAGAAAAATCAACTTTGAAAGTATAAATATTTTTTTTATTTCAATATATTAGTAAAATAAAGACTATTCCTTGTTAGTATCGATTTCTATTTGAACTATTTGCAACGTATTTTCGAGATTTAAGATAGATATTTGAGAGTATGGAGAGCGCATGAGCAATCAAAGCATGACTCTTAAGCTAATCTCACTTCTAATCTAGTTTTTGTTGTTTTGCAAACATAGTTGTCACCTAGTTCTTGATCGTATTATATGGAAACCCAACTAGACTCGCCGTGAAAAAAATGTTTACCGAAGAAATTTATTGAAAATATTTTTTTGTTTTCAAAATATCGTTTGAAGGTTATAATATATGTTTACAAAGCAGTATCCTAAAGATTAAACAAATGTTGAAAATATCCTTTTGCTTAGAAAATATTTATATTATTTTGAAGTTATATTTCTGTTGGGATAAGCTTCCCAACTTTTTTGAAATGTCAAAGAATCAATTTTAAATTTGTCATTGAGAATATTTTTTCTAGACATTCGTTAGAACCTTGAACTATTGTATTATACAACATATTATATTCAAAAAAATGTTCAACTATGATTTCAACTGCAATTTTCCAAATAGTAATACTTAAATAATTACATATTTTGAGTTAATTTTTTTGATTTTTTTGCAACAAATTTTGTTTCATTGTTAAAAGAAGATCACTGTTTTATATTCGGATTATGTTGTAGAGCTTTTTCAATAATGGGGACCATCAAAAAGTATATTCAATTTTTTGTTAACATAAAAACAACTACTGCACATAGAATATTCTTTTTTTTTAACCCTAAAGAATAATACTACTTGATACACATCCTTGTTTCTTGTTATGAAATGTTTGGTTAGTCAAAGATTCAAGGTTAAGTCATGAAAAATAAACGTTTAACTAAATTCTTCACTTTACAGTACACAAACTTTGAACAGAACCCTAACAGATGCCCTAAAACACGTATTCGTTTATACCCTGAACAGGTATACTGGTCGTTTATACTAAGCTTGCCAAGAATTTTGTAACACTCAGAAGGAAACGTCGGAGACCTTATAAAATAAATGTTTATATGGTATATAAATTATCAGCGTGACGAACTGAGGCGATCCAGCCAATACGCGAACTAGTCCCTCAGTGTTTGAGATATCGATCTGAAATTTTGTTCACATTATTTTCTTCTCAAGAAGCTGCTTTCAAGGCAACCCTATAATTTCCGAACAAATTGTTTAGATCAGACCACCATAACGTATAGCTGTCATAAAAATTTACGGATCAAAATCAAGATATGGATCTTTTTATACCCTTTTATGCTATAAGAAATGTACCTGTGAAGCGTATTATAGCTTTTTTTAAATTTTTTAAATTTTCTTAACAATTTGTCGTAAAACACCTAACATATAATTAACGTAGGGAAGGCTTTCAAATTATTGAGAGTGCATTAAGTAAGAAGCAGAAGCAGTTTTTCTTTTTAAAACCAATACTCCTGCCATTCGTCTTAGCTAAACCATAACACACTTCAGATTTAATGTAGTACTTGTTTCGTAAAGTCACGCCACAGCGTGACCTGTAGCATAACCTCTAGCCTTAGCAGTATCCCAAGAAGCTATAAAAAGTTTCTAAAGTCACGTGTCTTTCACTTCTCTCACCAACATATGCGAGGGATTTCAAGCCAAACAGAACATGTTTTCAACGCAACTTCGCCTATTGCTTAGAAATTGTGCTGCTATAAAGGAATGCGTCCTTACACAACATACATAGGCACTCATACGGAGACCAGCATTGCGACATAATCAAGTTATCACGCACGAAATCCACAAATCAATACCAACATTAACCAACATAATTTAAGTAATCAAACACAAGACACACACACATACATATATACATACATATGCATTTTTCCAATTTATTTGTTTTGCGAGCAAATGAAAATTTATCGCTTTAAGTGTATCGATATTTGTAGGGCGCACAGCAAAGCGTCAACAAATTTCCATCATTTTTATTCCTGTCACAATCGCAGCCAAGTCGGGCGCAAAGTGTGAACAGTGTTGCTTGCGGCGTAGCTATTTTTGGTGCTTAAAACAAAGGGACGACGTCCTTGTAACATGCGTTTTTATTGCATGCACTACACACACACACACACGCACATGCGCGTACAAAGCAACGTTGGGAAGTAGTAACACGGGGGCGGGGCGGCAAGCAGTCGCTATGTTGATGATGATTTGTTTTTTGGCTTCTTCATTGCTACGAGAACTTTTTCAATACAATCCCATACATTACAACTATGTACTTGCTCCAATTCTTGTTGTTGTTCTTTTTGGTTTCTTTGTTTTTTTGTTGTGCTATTTCGTGCCACTACTGATGTTGGCTGCGCCAAAAGTCCACTCGAACCGCAGCGATGCGAAGTTAAAGTGGCTCCTAAATCAAAGTCAGTCATCCAAAATGTCGAAAACCTACCCCAGAAGCAGACGGAATACGTGTAACAAATGAAACAAAAGCAGAACTATTCGAAATGAAAAAATGCGCCCAAAAAAATAAAACAAAAATGGAGAAAAAATCAAACCTGGTGTCCAACGAACACAGCAAGCATATGCATATGAAAAATATAATGAAAAAAATCGGAGCACAAGAACAAGAACAAAAACGGAAAAAATCAGAAATATTGTTTGGAGCGGGAAATGAAATCAAGCATCTCTCGAAAAAGTTTCAGTTTGACAGGCGCATTTAAAATTGTAATTGGCATGCTCCATCACGATGCGGGATGGATGGATGGACGGACGGACGGACAGCCAGAGGCCAGACGGACAAGCGGATGAATGTCTGAATGGGGCTGCTCTTGACTACTTGCCTGTTTGGCTGGACGGCTGGCTGCTTGACTGGGTAAACGCGGCGCAGCATATGTGCGCGCGTGTGTGGACGACGTGCAGACAAGCGCATGACTTAAACAAGCGCGCACAAAAAGCTACCATCTACGTATGTGCGTACGCATTGTGTACAACATTTGGGGGCAATGAAAACTGTAGGAAAAAAACTTACGAAGAAAAAATTCACTCATAACAGCGCGCTGCGGCAAAGCTTCGGGCACCCAGCATCAGTAGCAGCGGCGGCGCAGAAGCTGAGGCAAACTTTTACGATTTTTTCAGCGCACATTTGTCTTCACTGCGTACATTTTATTCGAAAACGTTCCCACCACCGTCGTAGTGCGATTACCGCGTTGGCTCACTTATCATTGCCCGAAAATCTTGTCACGCTAACGCATGCAACGCACATGCATACAAATGTGCCACAAGCAGTAATGTGGCGCGCTGGTTGCTGCAACACACAGAGGCGCGCGCGGGCATTGAGTGGAGCTTACCGAGGAGCCTTCTCGGTTTTATTGTATTGTTTAATATGTACGCGTATAATAGTTGGTGATTGTCGCTTGCCGCTTGCCGCACTCATTGTATCTGTGTGTTGCCGCAATCTGCGCTACCGCCGCCGCCGCCACGCACTTGAGGCCGCCACCGCTCAATAGTGCTGCCTTAATACGCTTTTGTGGCATATTAAACGTGCGCGACGAGGAAACGCATTTATAGCGCTTCATTGTCGACAATTTCATTTCATTATTATTTTTGTCCCTTTGAGCGCGCACACACGCGCACAAACACATGCAAATATACACACTCATATTTGTATATTGTATTGTGTTGCTACTATTATTTTATGCTACTTTATTTTATTTTACTTTATTTCATCTTTTCTCACCGAGAAACTTTGCGCTTGCCTTGCCATTGTTTGAGCAGCGCTGGCAGTCAGACTGACAGACAGACATAAGCTTCTGTGCTTACGTACTTACTTACTTACTTATAGGTATATGCTTGTGTCGCTGCCGATTCACTGCCAAACGTATTTCGTATGAGTTTGAATACACACATTTCTCCATATATATTTCTATGTGTGTGTTTGTGTGTGCGCGCTTATGAGGAAATAGCGCCTGACGCGCGAAGCCAATAGAAATTCCACAAATGTCGCTATACTTTTGTAACACACAATGCGCGAACTATTTGTAGTTGCCGTTGTTTTTTATTCATTTTTTTATTTTCTTAAATTTGTATTTTTATTTTCCGTTTTTTTTTTTGTTTCTTTTTATTTACATATATTTTTTTGGTATGCTTTGTTATTCTTTCACAGCTATTTAGTTGTCATTTCTACTATATTTACTCACTCTAAGCAAACGTTGGAGACTTTTCTCCGCAATTTATTTTTATAATTTGCGTTTGTTTTCTTTTTGTAATTTTTATTTTTCCTGCTACTTAATTTTTATCTCTTCCTGCCATCAGCCATCAAACATTTGCATGTCGCTGCTGCCAAAAAGTTTTGAAATGTCTGCTTTTTAGTATTTGACACAGACAATGTTGCAGCTGAATATGTGTGTTGTACTCCTTTGAGTAGACCAGTTCATTTACTCAAACATACACAGCAACAGAAACAGAAACAGAAATTAATGCCCGCGT